CCACCACCACCACCAACAACAACCACAACAAAAAAAAAAAAAAAAAAAAAAAAAAAAAAAAACTAAAAAAAACCTAAATAAATAAATAAAGCCACCGGCCATGCACATAAAAAAGGCAAAAATAAAATAAATGTTACTCTAGGGTGCCCACTTCTAGAAACTGACTTCTGGCTTCTGTACGCATTTCAACTTGTCAATCATCCTGCTCCACCCTCACCTCTAGTTATATATGTGCGTACATACAACAGTCTGTCAGTCAGTGCTGTACATACAACAGTCTGTCAGTCAGTGCTGTACATACAACAGTCTGTCAGTCAGTGCGTACATAACAGTCTGTCAGTCAGTGCTGAGCCAAAGTCTTAGGTTTTTTAATAACTCTTTGAGGATCTCATATATGAATATAATGCATTTTGAGTCCTCTCCACTCTTCCAACTCCTTCCACACACCCCCAACTTCATGTATTCTTTTACTACTTAAAAAAAAATAACTTAGAATTCAAATTCTTGGCCTTTATAAGTAGGATAAACTATTCATAAAAATATCTTAAATTTCTTTTCTTTCTTCCTGTTTGGTTTTTTTAAACAGGAGTCTCATGGAGCCCAATCTGGCCTAATTCACAACAAAGCTGAGGGTGGCCTGACCCCTTCCCAAGTGCTATGATTACAAGTGTGCACCATGCCCAGCTCACTTAAATTCCTTTATAGGGATACTGAGTATCACTGATATGTAAGTGTTGATTTTTCTACACAGAACTCTGTCTAACTTAAATATGTCTATGATTTAGACCCCAGTATATAAGCAATCATTTAAATGCCCATTGATGGTATTAACACACTGTGTACATATCCCAAAACACCTAGTTTACCAGTCCCTATTGCTGACCCCAACTACCAGCGCAACATCTTCTTCCTCCATCTCCTTCACTAGCCTCCTAAATGCTGGCATTGCAGGCATATACCGCCAAGTCTGGCTCAAATGACTTCTTTTTCCTCCTTTCTTTCTTCCTGCACTGCTGAGAACTCAGCCTAGGGCCTCATGCACGCTGGGCAAGAGCTCTACCACTGAGTTACATTCCTAGCCCGAAATGACTTTTTAATTCCTTGGGAAACGCTTTTATTTTTATAATCAGTTCAATCAACTGACCAAAGCAAGAGCTAAATGCCAAAAGTGAAACATTAAGTTAGTAAAACCACTAAACTTTGCTTAGGGAAAAGGTGATTTTACAGTTTCTTCTCTTTTAACTGTACAAGAAGCAGCACTATAGGGTCTCAATGCTTGCACTGCTCTGGAATCGGCAGCATGAGATGCAGCTGGCACCGCTGTCAAATGAACACACATTTTCCAGAAAACAGTATCCATGCTCTGCATGCGCTGTTGTTTGTGGAAGATCCGCTCGCTACTGAAGCCATCCGGGCAGTAACTGACTATACAACTCCTCTGCTCCTGTCAATGGCTGCAGTCCCGAGAGCAGCAGACAGAGTGCACAGAGACAGGTGAGCCCGGAGAGCACCCTCTGTCTGTGACCCCCCCCACAGAGTGCACAGAGACAGGTGAGCCCGGAGAGCACCCTCTGTCTGTGACCCCACAGAGTGCAGAGACAGGTGAGCCCGGAGAGCACCCTCTGTCTGTGACCCCACAGAGCCAAGCTGTGAATGACGCTCCAGGAAAAGACAATCTCCTTTTATTCAAACCCTGATAGCCGACAACTACCTATTGCAATTTGCTTTAGAACTTTGGTGGTTTGGGGTGGAACGTAGCTGTGGGAAATTAATGGAAATTAATTCTAAAAAGAAGCAGCACCCGAGGCGAACTTACCTGCTTTATATGAAGAGCGCACCAAAGGGCCACTTGCAGTGTAATGAAATCCAAGCTCATTTCCTACTTTTTCCCAGTACTTGAACTTCTCAGGAGTAACGTACTCTTCAACCTTGATGTAAAGAATCTCTTCAGAACAGATTCCAGAACGCTACGTAACTCTGATTCTAGATAAAGTCTATGTACTCGGAAGGGCTCGGCATTTATCCAGCCCCCTCCCCATGTACATGTTGTTGGCCTCTATCAGAGCATAACCACAGAGGACTCAGAGAGGAGAGAATGTCACCTTGTACTACATTAGCTGTTCTAATGGGGAAAAATGAGAGTACAAAGATTACTTATGTTTTTCTTTCATGTATTAATAGTAGAAGCAAGAATTGGTCTTTCCTGTAAGATTCCGTGTATAGGCCATCGACAACTTTGGAAGTCATTCCTCAGACATTCCACCTTCTTTTGCTACAGGACTCTCAGTGGCCTGGAACTCTTAAGTAGGTCAGGCTGGCTGGCCATCGAGCCCCAGGAATCTACCTGTGTCTGTCTCTCCTGTGCAGGGATTATAAGCACACGCCACCATCTGGCTAAAAGACAACGTGGGTTCTGGGACTTGAACTCAGTCTGCAAGCACCTTCATGTCACTCTAAGTCCCCTTATAAGATGCCTGAGGACAAGACTAATTCATCTTGTGTCTCATGTTTAGCACTGTACATGGCACATATTTTATTTTGGTTTATCTGTCTGTCTGTCTGTCTGTTTGGCAGTCCTAATGGTTGGACCTAGGACCTCACACATACTAGGCAAGTGCTCTACCACTGAGCAACAGCCCGAATGAGCTATAGGACATGATAGTACTCAACACAATTTTCCCCAGCAAATATACACTCTATTACAGAAACAGAAACCTGCCTTCCTTTGCAGGATCACCAAATGCAAAATCTCCCAACCTTTAACTTTCTCTGTATGTCCACTTGACTCGAACAACTGGGTAGCAGTAAGTCATTGTTTATGTGGGCAAGAAGATGGAAACTTGCAAGTACACATGGAACATTATACTAAAAAGCTAGTAGCTTTTTATTTTTACCTGTGGACAGTGAAGATTTACTTCAAATTACTAAGAAAATATTTGGCAACTCAAGACACTTGTACCTTAAGGTGGCGCTTCGTTGGCTGCATATACTGTCCTAGAGTTAAACAGTCCACATCTGCTGCGCGGAGTGCTGAAAGGGAAGAACAGCAAGGATTCCAGCAGCAGCTGTTTCAGGCACAGTTACAGACTAAGCACAGGTCCTGTGAGGACAGCTCCCACCCTGTGTGCTCTGTCACCACAGGCAATGCGAGGTGGGAGGAAACCCAGTCATTCAGAAACACATGAGCCAGGGATGCTAATGGGAACCGGAAACACGGGAGACAGAAAGAAAAACTCAAGGCTGGATATGCTGGCGCACGCCTTGAGTCTCAGCACTCAAGAGGCAGAGGCAAGTGCATCTCTGAGTTTGAGGCTAACCTGGCCTCAGAGCAAGTTCTAAGACAGCTGGAGCTACACAGAGACACAAAACAAAAACAAAAACAAAAAAAAAGAAAGAAAGAAGAAAGACACTTAATGCTATCAAATGGAAGCCATGCCCATGCCTGACTGTACTTTTCCTTCTCTTGAGTGTGTCTCTAGTCATCCCCATGCTTAAGTCTATGTAAAAAATCTTTTTTTCTTTGTTTTTCTGTTTTTGGTGACTGAAAAGATAGCCACAGGTGCTAGGAACCGAATTCTTATATATTTGGTTGTTAGCCTGGCCTTTAATGGCTGAGCCATCATTCCAGCCCTAACACCTAAAATCTTTTCTTAATAAACTCCAACTCTGCCTTTAAAAAAAAAAGGTGAAGGAACAACTATCCTAAGGTAAAAAGAGTCAAACGTGCTGCCTGGGCTTTGCCCTGGTGAGCAGGCTGTGCTGCCGGAGTGTGACTTGGCCTGTGACATATCAGAGTCTTTTTCAGTTGTACTTGGTAGGCAAGTGCTCTACTACTAAGCTAAAGCCCCAGCCTTCAGAATCTCATCCACCAGAGCCTGGTGCCGAACTGGCTTTCCACGCCACTCAATGACAGAGTGCAATCTCGTTCTCATGGAACAGGCGAGGACAAGGAGGGCTAAAGATCCCTGTGTTAAGCACCACACACACTATTCCATGATGATAAAGAAGGCCGAATGCTCCTACAGGCCTACAGCTGCACGCCAGGTATGCTGTTCTCACCGTCACCTGTTTTTAAGACTATGGAGGAAGCATGCATTTAACAGGCTCTTTAAATGGAGTTCCGGCTACCACTGAACGTTAAAGGAAAGGGGTTTCTGGTTTTCAACGTCTTTACCTTTCATCGTTGCTTGGACTTGCTCATCCGTTTCACCTAGGCCCAGCATTATTGATGTTTTGGAAACAATATCAGGCTGAACTTTCTTAGCATGTTTCAATACACGAAGAGACTGGTCAAAATTGGCCCGGGGATCACGAACTTTCCTGGAAAACGGGCAGCTCTCAGTGACAAAGCAAGTTCAACCAGAAAGCACATTCTAGAACAGTGCTCTCAACCTTTCACAGGGGTAGCCTAAGACCACTGGATCTCACATTATGATTCATAACAGTGGCAGAATCATAGTTATGAAGTAGTAATGAAAATAATTTTATGGCTGGGGCCACTATAACATGAGGAAGTATATGAAAGGGTCCCAGAATCAGGAAGGAGGAGAAACACTGCTCTGGAACACGTGACCCACAGTTAGTGAGCATCTGTACCAGTGGTACATATGTGCACAGAGGTAATTAACGTGGGAAAGAAAACAAGGCCTCACTGGCTTCCTAGATATATCAACTTTCCAGGCCTCTCAAGCCTGGGACAGAGAAGCCCAGACTGGAAGCTACTCGGTTTATACACTGAAAACTGAGAACCTGAAGCTCAAAATTAGAATGACTTTAGCAAGAAAAGAAACTGGACAAAAGACAAGACAAACCCCACTCTGAGGACAAGACGTACCAGAACACACATTTCTGGGGTTGAAACTTTTATGTGCTTTTCTTTCCTGCAGGTTGGGCTGCCCTCTGCTGGCACGTAGTAACACTGCAGGCTTGGAGGAAAAGCATTCTGGGATTTTGCTGGAAAGGGTAAGTTTCTGAAGTGAAACCAGGGAGACTGGCACCCGCTGCTATCTCACCACAGACTGGGTGGCAACCCTTCAACAATGGCCAAACCACCGTGGCTTAAATGAGAAGGAATGCAAAGGGATAATGGAAGGCCAGCGCTTAGCTGACTTCTAATGCAGCCTATGTTCTGTATTTTTGTTTTGTTTTAATTTAAATAAGAGGCAGGGAGTTGAAGAGATGGCTGAGCGGTTAGTACTGACTGCTATCCCAGAGGATTCAGGTTCAAGTGCCAGTACCCACAGGACGTTAATAAGTGTGTAACTCTAGTTCCAAGGGATAAACACCCTCTGGCCTCTGGCCTTCCAGGGCACTGCATGAACACAGTGCACAGCAATACACCCATATATAAGAAAACAAACAAACAAATAACAAGAACAGTATGTTATCTTGTGACTTGCACACACAAACAAACAAATATAAGTTTAAAAAGAGCAATTTAAAAAACCTCCATAAAACTGACAGTATAGAAGCTAACACTTTGTGGGGCAGTCACGCTAACTGTGTTGGTCTTGAACTTGCAACCCTTTTGCCTCAGCCTGTGTGCTGGCTAGGATGACAGCTGTGTGCCATTACACTTAGCAAGGTGGACTTCAAACATTAGTCTTTATTGTTTATGTTCTCGGGGGCGGGCATGTCAGAGAGCAGCTTGCTCGAGTTAGCTCTCTCCTTCCACCACGTGGGTGCCGGGGATTGAACTCAGGTCATCAGGCTCAGCAACAAGACCTTCGCCCACTGACCCACCTAGCTAGCCCAAAGCTACTTTTTAAAAAATATTTATGTATTTATTATGTATACAATGTTCTGCTTGTACGTCAGAAGAGGGCACCAGATCTCATTATAGATGGTTGTGAGCCACCATGTGGTTGTTGGGGATTGAACGCAGGACCTCTGGGAGGGCAGCCAGTGCTCTTAACCTCTTAGCCATCTCTCCAGTCATCCAGGTTATTTTTTACAAAGCATTTCTCCACTGGATTGAAGCTATGGCCTGCAATGACTACAGTCCAGGAGCCATGTGCTGGGTACCATTCACTGCAACTCTGTAGGTCTGTGACACAGAATAATGGGGAGTGACTAATAAAATCACAGTCAAATACTTGAGAAAGTCTAATGAAAATATTAATCTCATCTGTAACTAAAAACTTTTTTTTCAAAACTGAATATGCTCATTATGTGGAATAGAGTCCTCCATAGTTCCCGACTGCTACAATTCGTAGGAAGAATAAAGCATAGTGGGCTGGAGAGATGGCTCAGAGGGTAAGCGCACCGCCTGCTCTTCCAAAGGCCCTGAGCAACCACATGGTGGCTCACAACCATCTGTAATGAGGTCTGGTGCCCTCTTCTGGCCTGCAGGCATACACACAGAAAGAATATTGTATACATAATAAACAAATAAAAATATTTAAAAAAAAAAGAATAAAGCATAGTGTCTCCTTGCCTGTGTGTGAGTGTATGTGTGGGCGTTGTGTGGGTTTCTTTTTTTTTTTTTTTGGTTTTTTTCGAGACAGGGTTTCTCTGTAGCTTCGGTGCCTGTCTGGGAACTAGCTCTTGTAGACCAGGCTGGCCTCGAACTCCCAGAGATTCGCCTGCCTCTGCCTCCCGAGTGCTGGGATTAAAGGTGTGCGCCACCACCGCCCGGCTTGTGTGGGTTTCTATTTGAGACAAGGTCTGACTATGTAGCCTTGGCTGGCCTAGGATGTGAAATGTAGGATAGGCTACCCTAAAACTTAGAGACCCACCTGCTTCTGTCTCCTGTGTGCTGGGATTAAAAGTATACACTATTATTCTTGGTTTGGGGTTTTTTTGTTTGTTTCATTTTGGTTTTTTTTTTAAAGAGCCACTTCCTCCCGGCGAGTCTGTCTACTTTTTTTTTTTCTGTTTCAGAGTCTGTCTATTTATTAAGAGGTTTAAAACAGTGGTTTTTCTGATACATCACTTTTCATTTGAGAAGTATTCTGGGAAAGAAAGGAATTCAGTGCATCTGCAACGATAATGCCACTAGAAAACAGTAACAATGTCATTACGTGTCATTAAAACATAGTAGGTCAGGTGGTGGCACACACCTTTAATCCCAGCACTTGGGAGGCAGAGACAGGTGGATCTCTGTGAGTTCGAGGCCAGCCTGGTCTACAGAGTGAGTTCCAGAACAGCCAAGGCTACACAGGGAAACCCTGTCTCAAAACAACAACACACAAAAACTGAAAACCATCAACAACATTATCAGTTCCTAGCACATTTGCATATATATTTACAGGTGTAACACAACACACAGTGACAGTAGCTGTCATTACTGGCTAGAAGCATCATGGGTGATATTTGCACATTTTTTAAAAAGACTTTTCTTTTTAATTATATGCACATTTGTGTGTGGGTGTGTGCACATGAGTGCAGCTGTTGGGAGAGCCAAGGGCATGGGAACACCATGGAGACTGAACTCCAGTCTCTGTAAGAGCATATGGGCTCTTAATCACTGAGCCATCCTTCTAGCCCTTGGTCACTCACTTTTGGTGGTTATCGTTTCTGTTTTTTTTACTAACTTATGGAGGAAGGACAAAATGAAGATCAAGAGAGGAAGGAGGGGGCTGGAGAGATGGCTCAGTGGTTAGGAGCATTGCCTGCTCTTCCAAAGGTCCTGAGTTCAATTCCCGGCAACCACATGGTGGCTCACAACCATCTGTAATGAGGTCTGGTGCCCCCTTCTGACCTGCAGACATACACACAGACAGAATATTGTATACATAATTAATAAATAAATAAAGAAATAATATAAAAAAAAAGAGAGAGGAAGGAAAGGAAAGGGGGAAGTCCACTGCAAAGTCTCCCTGCTAAGTGACACCCATAGCATGCTGTGGCCCACGAACACGCAGTCACCTCTGTAATTCCGGAACAGTTTCTACATTGTGTGCGTACACATCTAAGCCCGACAGAGCGACCTTTTCTACTGCTCCCAGATCTCCTCGGAAGTCAGGGGTGAGGCATTCCACAAGGATTTTTGGATTCCTAGAAGGAAAAAAGATAAGCCCTGAATGGAAGACAAAGAACCGACATGACCGCTGCCTACACAGCTGTCCCCGCTGTCCCAGGGTGACTGCAGCAGCCCCTGAGCCCTGCTAAGGAGGGCCTGGGCACACCACAGTCCTATGTAAGCAACCATAAGAAACCCTCAGAATGGTAAACTGTATTCCATAACAACCAGAACATCTACCTCAACAGCCATCAGTAGACTCCCACTTAAACCTAATGGGAGTAGGTTATTAAAAAGTAAAATCATTTAAAGGAACCAAAATAAGGCATAAGTAGTCTTATCATTTTACTGTTTAGAAAACAAAGTGGGGTATTTCTTCTGTGAATGCAAATGCCATCTGCGTTGGCTCTGACTTCTTCTGTGATTCACCGAACACTCCCCTCCTCATCTCCTGTGATTCACCGAACACTCCCCTCCTCATCTCCTGTGGGCACATATCTCACCGTGCTTTCGGCTTTCAAAGCTGGTTCTAGGTTTGCTGAGTCATGAATTTTTATTTCTAAATGAAGTACCAACAAACATTAATCTTCCTGCTTATACTGTGGCTGCACCTATCTAGTGAGCACTGTAATAAGAACTAGGTCACAGAGCAGTCTGCAAACTCAAAGGCAGGATGCAGCTGTTCCCTGAGAATAGAGACGGAGGACCACACTTGGTCCCTTGTGAACAGAAGATGCGGAAAGTTCTTGGTGTGTATCTCTGAAACTGACTTTAAAAATTACACCTGAGATCCATTAGTGAGTGCCTGTGAAGGAAACTTCGTGAGCTGCAAAAATTTTTGAAGTGTTAAGAATCAGAAAAACTGGGAAATCAGTGGAAAAGCATGTTAGTACAATAGACATTATACCAGCACCGAGTTCCAGAAACTATTTCGCTCCTTTTGTTTTTAGAGACAAAGTCTCACTATGCAGCCCTGGCCAGCCTGGAGTTCATTATGTGATATGGGACTCCCCTCTGTATGCTATCAGTATGTTTTATTACCATTGGTTAATAAAGAAGCTGCTATGACCTATAACAGGGCAAAATATAGACAGGCTGGAAGAACTATAGAGAGAGAGTGGATGGAATCAGAGAGATGTCATGTATTGGCCGAAGGAACAAAACGCCACCGTCAGAACCTTTCCTGTAAGCCACAGCCTCGTGTCAATATACACATTAATAGAAATGGGTTAGTTTAAGATACAAGAGCTAGGTAGGAATACACCTAAGCTATTGGCCAAGCAGTGTTGTAATTAATATAGTTTCTGTGTGATTATTCTGGTCTGGGCAGCCGGGAAACAAACAAGCAGTCTCCGTTTACAATTATGTACACCAGGCCGGCCTCAAATTCAGAGATCCCCGTCTCTGCATTTAAACACTGGGAATAAAGGTGTGTGCCGCTAATCTGGTGAATTTTGCTCCTTTTTAATCTTTTTGGAATGCATGAGATTAAAAAAAAAAATCCTAGCATTTGGGGGGCAGAGGAGGGTGGTTCTCTGTGGGTTCAAGGCCAGCCTTGTCTATCTAGTGAGTCAGGGCAGCCAGGACTACATAGACTCTGTCTCAAAAGAAAAAGAAAAAAAGAAAGAAAGAAAAAGAAAAGACAAAGCCCTCAAAATGAATGTGTGTCTACAGGTCCTTAAACACATAACGAACGTTAACAAGTACCTCTCCTTCAGGCACTAGACAGTCTTGGCGATGTGCTCAGCTCCCCCATCGGGCACATCTAGAAAGAAAAGCAGTTATTGTTCAAGCTATGCCACACCCAGCTGGAGTCACCACTACACACACTACTAACCATCTCGATCCACCGATGTCAGCACAACATAATCCAGACCCCACTCTGCAATTGCTTTGGCCGTATTGTAGGGCTCATTGGCATCCAGCGGAGGGGGGTTTCTTGCAGTCTTAACAGAACAAAATCTGCAACCTCTTGTACATGTGTCCCCCATCAACTAGAATAGAGATGTTACAATTTAAAAACATGGCAAAGAACATCAATAGAATGACTCTGTCTATAAGGAATCTGAAATATTTAAAAATCAAATATGGTTAAGGAACACAAATTTATGTGGAAAAAGAAAATGATACCCTCAAGTAAGTGTTAAGGGAACTGGAGGGTTATGGGATCAGGGGGGAGCATATGAATTTTAAATTTTATAATTTAAGGGCCGGTGAGATGACTCATTTGTCAAGCAAGCATGGTGACCAGAGTTCAATTCCCAGACCCCATGCAAAAGTGGGAAGAACAGACGCACAAAGTTGTCCTTTGACTCTGTCTCTCTCTCTCTCTTTTTTTTTTTTTTTTTTTTTTTTTTTTTGTTTATGTTTCTCTGTGTAGTCTTAGCTGTCCTGGAACTCACTCGGTAGACCAGGCTGGCCTCGAATTCACAGAGGTCCTCCTGCCCCTGCCTCCCAAGTGCTGGGATTAAAGGCGTGCGCCACTGCCTGGCATATTGTTATTTTTTACAGCTTACTCATGGTTTATAAAGACTATTTACTACTTAAAGATCAACAAGTATGATTTTAAAATATATTCTTTTTAAATGACATTTTAAATTTATTTTGTCTGTATGGGCATCTGTGTGTGTGGAAACACAAGGACGTCAGAAGGCAACTGTAGGAGTTGACTTTTTCCATCCATTGTGTGGGTCCTGTGGGTTGAACTCAGATCACCAGGCTTGACAGCAGGTAACTCTGCCCACTGAGACCCTGGTGCTGATATATTCGGTGGGAAGACATGGTGCAGATCTGAGGAGAGTGGAACTGGAAATACAGCTCATTCTTGTTAAATACATGATAGGAAAAAGTACACAAAAGTTAAATAATTATGAAGAATATCTCCAAACATTGATCCAACACTTCCCCTAAGGTACCAAATAGTTAACTACCAGATACATGGAAGAACCAATAATAGACTAATTGACTCTTCTCAGAGAAGAGTCAAATCACAACAGGTGACAAGATTCTGTCACTTCTTTTTCTTTGTAAGTTTCAGGAATTCAAATGCAATCAAGATTTCACTGGATGTTCACAGTACACATCCTTAGGAGGAGGACATAAAATACCCCTGCCCCACGCCTGGACCAAAACTGTAGAGACTGAGCGGGCCTCATTACCATGATGGTGGCTGTGGCTGTAGCAAATTCTCCACCTCCCCAACACTCTCCAATGTTGGGACACCGGGCTTCCTCGCAGACCTGTGAAAAGGGAAACGGTGCAGCAGGTTGAAGAGACCTACCTACCAACAATGGAGCATTAGATGGTCCCAGGTTTGTTCCAGGTTTCGTTTTAAGATTATTTTTATTATAATTTTGTATGTATGGGTGTTTTGCCTGCATCTATCTCTGTGTGCCACACGCATGCCCGATGTCAAGCAGTATCCAGAAGAGAGTGTCAGATCCCCTGAAACTGGAGGTAGATATGGTGGTGAGTGGCCATGTGGGTGCTAGGAACTGAACCTGGGGCCTTTATAAGAGAAAGTAGCCTTGCTCTCAACCACTGAGCCATCCCTCCAGCCCAGTATTATGTAATTTAAACTGCCCGTTGTTTCCAATGCATTTCAGAAGAAATATAATCACCTATTGTTTCTTTTGCAGGAAAATGCAAAGGGGAGCTAGGGACTAAAGTTCTTTCAAACACAGTAAGCAAGCACTGGGTTATACTCTCAGGCCCTACAGGTCTGTGTATGTTTTTTGTTTTCACTTTGGTTTTTCAAGACAGGGTTTCTCTGTGTAGCCTAGGCTGTCCTGGAACTCACGCTGTAGACCAGGCTGTCCTCAAACTCACAGAGATCCACCTGCCTCTGCCTGCCAAGTGCTGGGATAAAGGTGTGCACCCCCACTGCCGGGCTTCACGTACACTGTCACTACTGTAGCTCCCACTTCACTTTCCCCGCTAAGAGTTACATACTCATCAACCGCTTCTTCTTGGTCTGGTCTGGCACCGCACATCTTATAACCTAAGCACTTAGGAGGCTAAGGCAGGAGAATCACAAGTTTGAGACCAATCAGGGAGCTAAATAATTAGACTGTATCTCAAAACCTTTTTTTTTTTTTTTTTTTTTTTTTGTTTTTTCGAGACAGGGTTTCTCTGTGGCTTTGGAGCCTGTCCTGGAACTAGCTCTGTAGACCAGGCTGGTCTCGAACTCACAGAGATCCGCCTGCCTCAGCCTCCCTAAAGGCATGCGCCACCACCGCCCGGCCCTCAAAACCTTTTTGTTATAAATATAGAGAGAGAGCATAGACTTGGGGTAAAATCAAGGGGAAACACACTGGCTACTCACTGTGTGGAGATTTAAATTTCGCAACGTAGTTTTCAGCTTATTGTAATTTTTACCCATGGGTATCTCTGTCTTTAACCACGGAGGTAGTCTTAACCTAGGGAAAGCCAAACGAACAACTGCCCGTTACCAACCTCTGGAAGACACGTAGCTTAACTCTAGCAGCTTTTTCCATATTTTTGGACTCAGATCCATCACAGGAAGACGACCAAAGACTCAGTCTCAGGTCTGCTCAAGCTGCTTTAGGAAACACCGATAATGGAGTCTAGGGGATGCTATGCTTACAGCTACCTTATGCAAAGGCACATTGCTATACTATTCTAATTAAAGGACGGATATGTTGTTGAGTGTGTCCTTCCCTGTGAACACTACTTACCAGGCTTTCTCTTTTGGACTACCAACCAGCTCCCAAATCACGACTTAGAGACTTAGTTATGAATACTCGGCCTTAGTGCTTACTTTAATCTGTTTCTCTTAATCTGTTTTGCCTGTGGGCTTTTTACCTTTCTTCCCATCTGTATATCTTAACTGCACTGCTTCACGTGTCTGGCTGGCAACTGCTTGGCATCTAGTCTAGGCATGTCCCTCTCTTTCTTCCTCATTTTTTCCTCCTCCTCCTCTCTTGAGCCTAGAGTCCTCCTTCTGCTTACTCTCTCTGCTCATCAGTCCCCCCCTATAACTCTTCAGCTTAGCTATTGGCTGTTCAGCTTTTTATTAGGCCAGTCAGGTGCCTAAGGCAGGCAAGATGAGCTGAATGCAACACATCTTTACATTGTTAACAAAGGCAGCAGAAACAAATGTAACACAGCTTCACATAGTTCAAGAAATACTCCACAGCATAAACAAATGTAACACATCTTCGCCTCATTAAAATAATATTCCAGCCGGCGATTGTGGCCCACGCCTTTAATCCCAGCACTTGGGAGGCAGAGGCAGGCGGATCTCTGTGAGTTCGAGACCAGCCTGGTCTACAAGAGCTAGTTCCAGGACAAGCTCCAAAACCACAGAGAAACCCTGTCTCGAAAAAAACCAAAAAATAAATAAATAAATAAATAAAATAATATTCCACAACATAGTACAAACTGCTGCAGTAACTCCAAATAAGGAAAGAGACCAACTGCACACTATCTACCCTGCATTCTAGATTCTAGTCATTAATAAAGAGAAACAACTTGTTAGTTGAAATAAATAAATAAATAAAATAATATTCCACAACATAGTACAAACTGCTGCAGTAACTCCAAATAAGGAAAGAGACCAACTGCACACTATCTACCCTGCATTCTAGATTCTAGTCATTAATAAAGAGAAACAACTTGTTAGTTGTGGTGGTTCAAGTCTGTGATACTAGGATTTAAATCGTGGAGGTAGGAGGATCAGGAGTTCAAGGTCAAATTTAGCTACATGATAAACCAGAAAACGACAAACTGACAATAACAACAAAAGGTAGATCTAAAATTTGGAATGGAGGCTACACCCTTGTTTCCCCCTTCACTTTATTCCCTTGTGATCTAGAAACTGTAAGTATTTATGAAAATGACCCTGTGGATCCAATCCTCACCATACTTCTGTTACGATTTCTGTTTATTGTGGTACTAGAAATTGAGGCTTCTGCATGCTAGGCAACCTTTAATCATTAAAAATTAACAAAGATAAAGTAACTGTAGGCTATATGCAAACTTTCTCAGAAAAAGAACAAGTTAGAGCCAGACGCAGTGGCATAGGCCTTTAATCCCAGCACTTGGGAGGTAAAAGCAGGTGGATCTCAGTGAGTTCAAGGCCAGCCTGGTTTACGGAGAGAGTTCCAGAACATTCAGGTCTATACAGAGAATCCCTGTCTTGATAAATCAAATAAAATAAATCAATTATTACCTAGAGGAAAGTCTACACTTATCCAATTAGATGCTGGGGTAGAAAATGGGAGATCACACTGTAAAATGATCAGGTCATTTTAAGAAGGATGAAGAAAAATGACCAGAGGGCACAGAAAAACTAAAACGATGCTAACAGCTTTGCTCACCTATCCTATTTAGGTTTGTCATCACTTCTAGTACCTTTGGTAAATTTAACATGTCTGAAATTTAAAATCGACAAGGCTTGATTAAAAACAGTGCACAAAATCAAAGGGTGGGATACTAAAATAATATCCAATATTCTGTTACCTTTCTCCTTTCTGGCGCTTTAAATTTCCTTTATATTCATCCCAGGTGCTCTTGTCTGCAAGATCACCAGACACAAAATCTTGAAGATCTGGTCCATTCTGTAAAAATTCCTTTTTTTTATCGGGCAAAGAACTTAATGCTCTAGTCGGGTTGTATAAATATCTTCCAAATACCTACAGAAAAGGTTTATTATAACATTCATTCAGCACACTCTGGAATAATTTAGTTTTAACCCATTATAATACCAAAGCCAAAGGACTGATTCAGAAGTTATGTAAAACGGTTTAAGAGCTGAAACTATTTAGTGTTTGGGTAGAGTCTTAAAAAGACTCAAGGCAAAAGAACCTCTAACTATGGTGGCTCAGACCTGTAATTCATCACTCAGAGGAGGCAAGGGAGGATTGTCTGGTCTACAAATTTAGTTTCAGGCCAGCGATAGAGATCTGTGCATCCCCTGCCCCGATAGAAAGGGGGTAGGGGTGGGGTACGAGACTAAGAGTTAAAACATTAAAGGCAGATTAGAAAATTTTAGGAACTGACTTAACATGTCACATTTTCTCTTTGTGTACTCCAGGCTGGCCTCGAACTCACAGAGATCCACCTGCGTCTGCCTCTCCAGTGCCGGAATTAAAGGCGTGCGCCACCACCACCCCGCATGTCTTTTATTCTTAAGACAGGCACTAAAAGCATGCTGTCAACAAGTTTAAACTGCAATCATCAGGATATGCCACGGCTGTGACTTTTATTCCTGCCGAGCCAGGGCGTTCAGAAAAGGATATCTGGAAAGATTTCCCTAGTTTTGGATTTGGGCTAAGCAACAGCGTTCCTGCCGCTCACCCAGGACCCCAGGCTGCGAGCCGCATCCCCGCAGCGTAGAGACATCCCCCTGTCAGGTCTTAGGAGGGTCAAGGGCTCGAGGGACTGGCGGGACAGGACGCCGCTAAACACCGGTCGCTTTGCTGATGACACATCCTCATCGACCCTGCACGGATCGACCTGATAGCGAGCGACTAGTTCAGCCTTCCTTCGCGCGCTCGTGACGTCACCCGCCAGGACCCTGCCGGATGATAAGAACGTGATGACGAAAGACGTGCTCTCTTTGCCCCGTCTACTGCGAGGTGAGCAGCTTCCGAGCTCTTTCCCGGGAATCTGAAGCCATCCTCTCACGGGGACCCCGGCGGCGTGGGCCCGGTGCCCCGATTCCTTGTCCCGAGTGTCCCCCAGCACGACGGGCGGCCCCCGGATATGGCGGTGCGGGCTGGGCGCCGCGTTCTGGGCTCTCAGGCCTGCCCCGGCCGCAGCCCTACCGCCATGGCGCCCCGGGCTGGGCTTGCTACCGTCCGTCCGAGGCCCGCACCTTCCCAGCTCGCGCGCTCCCGGGCCGCCCTTTGTCACGGACCCCCATTTGTGCCTTGCTCCCGGATTTTCTGCTTGGAAATTTCCGGTTGAGGCGGAGCTCTGCCCGGTCTCCGCGGTATAGCGTGCCCTGCTGCAGCCTTCTTACCTGGGTGTTTGTGTTTCAGGATGAAGACCATTCTCAGCAATCAGACGGTCGACATTCCAGAAAATGGTAGGCGACTTGGTGCTTTGTCTTGACTGCTTTTTTGCATGCTCTGAGCCTTGGCCTGTGGTCTCACGGCTTCGTCCTGCCCTCTCTTCCAGTGGACATCACTCTGAAGGGGCGCACAGTCATTGTGAAGGGCCCCAGAGGAACCCTCCGGAGGGACTTCAATCACATCAACGTAGAGCTGAGCCTTCTTGGGAAGAAGAAGAAGAGGGTAAGGACCTCATTACTTTGATAGCCAAGTTGCTTGCTTGCAGGGTAGTTAACTGGTAAGAGTGAGGTTTGGTGCCTTGGGCCCGGCGTACGTACACGCCATGAATCCCAGCCCCGGGTGAATCTCTTGGCCAACTGGAGGTCAGACTGGTCTACCTAGTGAGTTCCAGGACAGACAGGACTGCGTAACTGAGACCTTGTCTCAAAAGACAAACAAAAAATTGGTCACTTAAATGTTACCGATGGGGTGCCTGGAATTATAGGCAATTTTGCTTTGGTGAAATTATAAAATCAATTCTGAGTAGTTTTTCGGACTTAATCCTGGGGTGGCCCTTGTGTTCTCAAGGTTTTTTTTGGGTGGGTGGGGAGGTCATTCCTCTGGAATCCTGTGCCTATGACATACAGTATATTGGTCATTTTTGGGAGACTTTGAATGCTCTTGTGGTCACCAGCTAAAATCTCGATGTTTTAATTCTGAAGTCTTGTTCTGTTGTAGCTCCGTGTTGACAAATGGTGGGGCAACAGGAAGGAACTGGCCACCGTCAGAACCATCTGCAGCCACGTTCAAAACATGATCAAGGGTGTTACGTTGGTAAGCTGGGAGAGGTTTTGGGTGTATTTTGTGTATGCAAATGTTTATTACCAGGATGGGCTTTGGACTCTGATAAGTTAGGGGGCGATTTTGTTGTCTTCTGTTTGTGGGGCATGCCATGGATCAAACCTAGGAATTTGCTGGGCAACCATACTCCAGCATTTTCTTAATAAATAATCTGCTGTAGCATAATTGTTTGGTATGTGTGGCACGCCTCATAGAAAAGGTCTGGCTTGTGCGTGTCTAATTTGGATCCTTTCTCCAAAGATTAAGTTAATGCTGAAGAGGTTTGTTTGATAAAAACAAGCTGTACCTGTTTATAACAGGTCTGTTACGTACCTCTTGGTTCATGCTTCCCTGTTGCTCCCAGTTTCGTTGGAGGACTGGACCTTTTATTTAGCTTGAAAATGTGAAGTCTAAGCCGGGCGGTGGTGGCGCACGCCTTTAATCCCAGCACTTGGGAGGCAGAGGCAGGCGGATCTCTGTGAGTTCGAGACCAGCCTGGTCTACAAGAGCTAGTTCCAGGATAGGCTCCAAAACCACAGAGAAACCCTGTCTCGAAAAACCAAAAAAAAAAAGAAAATGTGAAGTCTATGGTCTGCTGTGCTAACTCAGTAAATCTAGCACCAAAGATGAGGGTCCTGGGCTTTCACTGAAAAGAGCAAACCAGGATAAAATAGTAAAACAGATGCTTCCTCCAGGAGTGTTACTATCTAAAGAGACAGTTCCTTTGACGTAAATGTTGACGGTGGGACCTGTTACAGGTCACAGTTAGCAGGTAGGGTGTGTTAAATTTTCAAGTTAAAACAGAAGCACCTTTGGGGAATTTTAGAGCCCCTGATGGCACACAGCTGAAGAAGGAATCTCAGAATCTAGGCCAGCCTGAAATTAAAATGTTTTGAGATTGTTCATTTATTTAATGCAGGGCTTCCGCTACAAGATGAGGTCCGTGTATGCTCACTTCCCCATCAACGTCGTTATTCAGGAGAATGGGTCTTTGGTTGAAATCCGAAATTTCTTGGGTGAAAAATACATCCGCAGGGTTCGGATGAGGACAGGTATGTGTGTCCCTTCACAAATGATTAGCTGCTATGGTCTTTTTTCTTAGAGTCTTGGAGTGTTGGTGTTTGTGCTGAAGGTTATTTCAGAACTCTATTTTGGTAACTCTGCTAGTTTGAGGTGTTTTTGTTAGTTTAGTTTGGGGGAGGGTGTTTTTGAAACTGCTTCTCTGTGTAGCAGTCCTGGCTGCCCTGAAACTTACTGTGGACCAGGCTGATCTTGAACTCAGAGACCCATCTGCATCCCAAGTGCTGGAATTAAAGGCATGCACTGCCCCATGCTCTAGCTTGAGGTTTATGTCATTTTTCCTGAGCCCATGTAGAAGTTTGTAGGATGGATATATGGAGATATGTGGAGATTTTTTATATGTATACACACACACAGCTTTTTGTGGATGCTGGAAATTGAATCTGTCACTCCTGTAATCACAGTATGTTCAGAAAGTCCAATCCTAAAATTGATGGTTTGCATGGAGTTTTAAATGAAATTATATTTTGTACATGCCTTGTGTTAATGCTATCGAATGCATATATCTTTTAGGCGTTGCTTGTTCTGTCTCTCAAGCCCAGAAGGATGAATTAATCCTTGAAGGGAATGACATTGAACTTGTTTCAAACTCGGGTATGTATGCTTTTATGTCTGTTATCTGGAAAATTTATCTAAGCCTAAAGGTTGAATGCATAGCTGATTTCTGTTTGAAAACTTTTGAGTGGTCAGACATTCAGAATCTGTTCTGTGTATTGTACTTTGTATCATGAATACATGGTGGTTGTGTATGTAGTTCAAAGTGATGGGTAGCGTAGCATGTGGCTGACTTTTTAGATCTATATTGGGGGGCTGTATGCCGCTGCCCTCAATGAACTGAGGGCAGTCTCCTTCCATTGTGTAGATTCCGGGGATTGAGCTCCGGTAGTTAGGGTTGTAGATGAATTTGGCTAGTGAGATAATGGCTTTCTTTGCTTCTTCCTCTATAGCGGCTCTGATACAGCAGGCTACAACAGTTAAGAACAAGGATATCAGGAAGTTTTTGGATGGTATCTATGTGTCTGAAAAGGGAACAGTGCAGCAGGCTGATGAGTAGACCTAAGGTAGGTGGAGCTTGGTATACTAAACATTATTGAAGTATATCACGGGTGGATTTGTTTTACTCTATAATGTAGTTGAACTAAGATAAGTTTTTTATGAAAATTTGTGTATTTTGTTTCTTTTTACAGTTACCAGTTCCAGAAACAAGATCCTGAATTTTAATACAATTTGGGGTGTCTTTTGGGACAATAAAAGACTTGTATTAATTTGGGGTGTCCTTGATCTTTCTGATTACTTAGCAAATGGGTCAACTGTAACCAGACATTGGGGAAACAGGAGTGTAGTAACCATGGCAGACGATGGATGTTCAATGGGCATGGCACTTTGGGTAGAGTCTAGAGGTGTTTGGCTTTGGCCTGGGCATAATATTGACTATTTGGATGTGCAGATGTCTCAATAAGGACTGAAAAATGTAAATCATGATTTATTTGTAAGTTCTGTGTGAATTGTTTTCCTATCCATCTGATGGTGAAGAATGCACCCAGCAAACATGGAGTTGCCACCTCATTTCCTGCCAATAGCCAAAACAGATACAGGGCTGGTTACAGGCACTTGCTACTCTACAGGGCATCAGTCATGCTTGTGAAATTTACAGGCAGACATGACACACCAGCACATCAGATTTTAAAATATTTCTAAGTCTGAAGGTCAGAAAGGGTATTGTTGGTCACTTGGGGCTAGAGTTAGAGTAGTTTTATGAGCTCTTTGAAGACACACTGAACAAAACTTCAGCCATTGACAGCCACACAAATTTGAAAGTCAGTAACTCCAAATTTTTGGTTACCTTTTTTTTTTTTTTGACCTGTCATTGTGTGGGTAGATGGCCTGGCCATAGTGTATGTATAGAGGTCAATGGACAACTTGGAGTCTGCTTATTTGGGTTCTAGGAATCAAATTCAGGTTGTCAGGTTTGCAAAGCAAGGTTTTTTTTTTTTTTTTTAACCTCTATCCTGTAGACTCTTCTTTTTTTAAGAGACAAGAAACCTTTATTTGTGACTTCTGAGCAACATGGTTGCTGGGAACAGGGTCCTCTAACCTGACTAGCGCAGTGAGGGGAGACACAGATACTTCTCTGTTTAATGGCAGCTGGCACAGGGGTTTCTGAAGAAGTGATTCTCTGTAAGACATGTTAGACCCGGGTCCAGGGTGAGGACACTCAGCTCCCTGGCCAAAGACTCTAGGTTTTTGAGATAAGGTTTGTTTATCCCAGGACCACCTGCTTCTGTCTTCGGGGGTAAAGGATTGTGCTACCATGCCCAGCTGGTTTATTTTCAGTCTGAACTGGGTTTGCACATAACTGTCACCTAGCTGAATTCTATAAATTGTACAGACGTAATCCCTGGCAAGATGATCAGTGTTTGAGGCTATGTGAGATGTAGCTCAGTTGGCAGAGTGCTTTCTTAGTGTTAACAAAGCCTCGGCAGTGCACATTGGTGTGGCTGGTGTGTGCCTGTCAGTGATCCTGACCTAAGTGGGAACATAGTCTTCAAGACCACCCTCAGCTACATGCCTGACCAGTTTGGGAAACAAAATTGCTAGCCAGTGCTCTTAACCACTGACCCATCTCCCCAGTCCCCGGTTTTACCCTTCAGTGCTATACCAACAACTTGGTTGATGCCAATTTGGGTGGAGGTCCTGAGCTCAGTTCCCAGAACCACATGGTGGCAGTGGTTCACAACCATCTGAAATGAGATCTGCCACCCTCTTCTGGCCTGCAGGCATACGTGCAGACAGAACACTAATAAGTAAATTGTTTGGGAGCTGGAGAGATGGCTCAGAGGTTAAGAGCACTGGTTGCTCTTCCAGAGGTACTGAGTTCAATTCCCAGCAATCACATGGTGGCTCACAACTATCTGATATGAGATCTGGTGCCCTCTTCTGCTGTGGAGGCATACATGCAAGCAGAACACTATATATAAACTTAAGAAAAAAAAAATCAGCCTTCAGTATCAGCAGTCAAACCTAGGATCTTGTGTGCTAGGAAAGTACTGAGTTCCACTGAGCCATATCCCCAACCTGTGTATTGGAGCATCTCAATGCATTTGCTATCACTTGAGTGACCTAATGATTTTCATATGATCAATTAAAATGGGTAACTTCACATGCTCCCCAACCCCCCAAGTGTAGCAGTAGGAAGCATTGGGCTAGGAACTTTACATTTGCTTAGCAAGGCAATTTTAGGAAGGAGGAACATGTTCTAAGTTTAGCTTAATGGAAACACATTTTTAAAAAAGATTTATTATGTATACAGTGTTCTGTCTGCATGTATGCCTGCAGGCCAGAAGAGGGCACCAGATCTCAGATGGTTGTGAGTCACCATGAAATTGCTGGGAATTGAACTCAGAACATCTGGAAAAAAGCAGGCAGTGCTCTAACCGCTGAGCCATCTCCAGCCCTGGAACCACATTAAGTAAAGGTTTTAGTTGGCTATGTGGTGGTACATCCTGTAACCCTTGAAGTTGAGGCAGGAGGATCAAGACTTGGAGGTTGTCCTGAGAGAGAATGTTTAAGGTCAACTAGGACTGCATATGAGACCTGTCTCAAAAACACAAAACAGTGCTGTTAATTGGTTAGAAACCATAACTGAACTGAGCATGGTAGTGCGCACCTTAATCCCAGCATTCTTGAGGCAGAGGCAGGAGCATCACTGCCAGTGTGAGGCCAGCCTAGTCTAATGGCACCCAGACAATAAAACCTTAAAATTTGCTACTTGAATTAAGGATTGATACCAAGTTCTCTGTTACTCTTATTGCCTGCTGCATTTTCCAAGACTAATATGGAGGTTTGTAAATTCTAAGAAGTTAAGGTGTTTTTTTAAGTTTTTCTTGAATGAATTCATGTGACTTAAAAACCCAAGTAGGGCTGTAGAGACCCTGCAGTGGGTAAGAGCACTTGTTGCTCTCGCAGCGGAGTCAGGTTTTATTTCCAATACCCATGTGGAGGCTCATGGCTGTTTGTAACTCCAGTTCCAGGAGAAGTACTGTACTCTTCTGCCCTTCAAAAAACCAGGTGCACGTGCATGCAGGCAAAATACTCAATTCTAGAAAGTTTTTTTTTTTTTAAAGACCAAGTGATCCATAGCTTTTCTATGTGACTGCCAATACAGTCACTCAGCCAACTACAATGGGTGTCCTTAGTTCTCAGAGAGTAAAGATTCTTTTACTAAAGAGACAGGCAGGGGGAGTTTGAGGCTAGCCTGGTCTGTATAGTGAATTCCAGGCCAGCCAGAGCTATGCAGTGAGACCCAGGTTTGGCTTCCAGCCCTCGGCGTGTTGGCTTACATCCATCTGTAACTCCAGTTTTTGGGAATCTGGTGCCTCTTCTGGCTTCCAAGGACAAAGGCATACAAGTGGGGCACACATGCATGAGGCAAAACACCCGTACACATTTTAAAAAGGAAAAACCTCAGAATGGCAGGGGGTGGGGGTGGGAACCAGAAGGAGAAAGCAGACACCTGCTTTTAGATTCGGCTAGTCCAGTAGCAGCTTTATTTCTCATCACTTTGGCACACACTATCGAAAATTAGTGATAAGAAGTACAGTTGTGCCTGGGCAGCGGTGGCGCATGCCTCTAATCCCAGCATTTAGGAGGCAAAGGCAGGTGAATCTGAGTTTGAGGACAGTCTGGTCTACAGAGTAAGTTCTAAGATGTCCAGGGATAGAGACACCTGTCTACAGGGTGGGGGAAAAAGCAATAATTATGTCTTGACATCTTAACAATAGGTAGATCTGAAAGACAATTAAAATCACCTTACCATTTAGGATGCTTTGTTACTCAAGGCTCTTTGGAAGAGCTACTTTTCTTTGGCTCCTAAGTTCCTGGAGAGGGTTAACAGTGACTAGGTGACATGGTTATATATTGACTTGAAATAATGGGTATGAATGGGTACACATTCAAATTATTCTAGTGTTTGTGATCAAATACAAAAATATCCAAATTGAGATATACTTAATGCTAGCCTTAAAAGGTGAAATAGAATTATTCAAACTGACATGCTGGATTTGTCAGTCCAGGTACCCTGGTTGTGTTCTGTACCTATGTGCATGAGAAGTTATGAAGCTCTAGGAATAATGGTAAGGACTTTGCCCTTTACTCATAGTAAAATCTACATGTTTTTAACTTTCCTAAGTGTGCCAGACGTCTTGCCTCCAGGGCAATAGGGGTGATGCCAGTTTATTTTAAAATGGAAATTGCTGTGCTGTAAGACTAAGTGAACGTGATCTTCACAGACACTTGGTCCAGTTGTCCATCCTGTGATCTTTCCAAGACAATCAGAACTCCAACCTGGATATGGTGGGCATGCCTTTAGTTCCAGCACTCTGGAGGCAGAGGCAGATGGATCTCTGAGTTCAAGGCCATCCTTGTCTACAGACCGAGTTTCAGGACAGTCAGCTACAAAAAAAAAATACCCTGTTTTGAACCTTCTCCCCCACACCCCCCTACCAAAACAGAAGTTCAGGAAGAGGGAACTCACAAAATCAGACGTTTAAAAAATGCCTGGTTTTTCTTTAAAAAAAGAAAAAGAAAAAAAGAAAAGCTAAGATTTGTATGTTTTAGATCATATGCTTTAACTGCCTATGGACGAGCATCATCTAAAATTCTGTTGTTTCTACATTCCCCCTGAGGACTACCTCTTCTATCAGAGCACCTTGTTAGAAGTGACAGCATCTGTCACTAACTGTCCAGTTTAAAGAATAGTCCTAGCTGGGTGTGCTTAATCCCAGCACTCAGAAGGCTGAAGCAGGTGGATCTTGTGAATTCCAGAACAGCCTGAGCTACATAATAGACACTGTCTCAAAAAACAATAACAGCAAAATAGTTTGAAACTATGAAGTCTAAAACAACAGAACTTCACTTAAAATTAATTTCTTTACCATGAATAGTGATTGCTATTTACAGAAGAGCTAGAGAAAAATGATGTGAAACATGCTTCAAACTTCAAACCATGTTAGCCATGTTGGGGTCATCCCCACAATTCCTGTCAAGATGAAGTCTTCAGCTCTAAGAACTCCATTCACTGACTGATTGTCAATACCAAAGGGAAGGATTTGGACCACACTGCAAAGGCATCGATTGTCATCACCTTGGTTACAGCTGTCTCTCGCGTTGTAAGTTACCAGTATTTGGAACAGGAGTGAATCTTTAAACCATGTCAGAAATGATAATTTAGCTAAGAACTCTACTCTGGCCTTTTTTCAATGGTATATTTTCTAAGTTCTTTGCTTTCCGAAATTTTCTTCTCTTTCGATGATGAAAAATGGTGATTGACAGTAGTAGAGCCAGAGTGGCGATGAAGCAACAACCAAAGAAGATCAGTGGTTTCTTCTGAGTGAGGAATGAGCAGATGGTGCACTTGGTGTCTTCTGCTGCCTGGCCACATGCAGGCCTGCTGGTCTCAGAAGGAAAGCCACTGCTGCTGATCAACTTGCTGTAAAACTCTACAGAGGATTTAGCTTTGAAGTCTGATGTGAAAAATCCAAATCTCGGCTTAGATTTCTCTTCTGTCAGTTTGAATGCATAATAGCCTTTGATATTGACCTTGTCAATGAGGTAGGCTAGGAAAAAAACAGCAACATTGTTGATGACAAATGGTCAGCAAAGAATCTTTGAGTAAGAATTTAGATTTCAGTGGGTCAATGGTTATGAGCACTGGTTGCTCTTGCAGAGGCCAAGGTTTAATTCCCAGCACCCATGTGGTGGCTCATAAGCACCTGTAACTCCAGTTCCAGGGACTCTCATGCCCTCTTCTGACCTCCACAGACACCAGGGACACATGTGGCAAGCAGATATGCACGAAGGCAAAAAAATCATACACAATTTTTAAATTTTTTTAAATTTAGTTTTCATTGAAACTAAGGTCAAAAAGCTATGAAGTCATGATTTTCATTGAAGATACTGTTTTGGAGGCAGGGTCTCATGCATTCCAGGCTGACCTCTAAGTCCCTGTGTAAGCTGAAGGTGACCATTCTCATCCTCCTGCCACCACTTCCAGAGGACTGGGATTACCTGGTTTTGCCACCATGCCTGGCTCATATGTGTTAAGGGATCTAGCCCAGGACTTTCTGCATGTGAAAAAAACACTGTCAACTATGTCCCCAGTCTTGTTTGTTGATTCTGATCTGCACATTTTCATGTATTGGGCAGTCTAAGGTAATTAGAAATGACATTTCTGTACAAAGATAAGTTTTTCAGTGGGGTGATATTCCCAACTAAAGAATGGTTGAATTGTGGAGGCCCAAAAATGTAAGCCTATTTCACCTTGTCTGGAGGTCAGAGAATTTGAAGTTGCTCAGAATTGTTGACAACAACGTCCTGACCTAGGGTGTAGTTCCTTAGTCATTTTGACATTGAGAAGGCCCACACAGCTAGATCCACGCCACCCTGGAGGTCAGGGTATTCAAGCACACTTCTAATTGGAGGCTTACCCTTGGGAGCGGCTGCCTTCAGGATACTTGGTCTAGGGTGGATTCACTGCCTAAACAACAGAATGTTTTCTCATGAATTAATTGCTTGGTGGCTCAAAGTATTGAAGCAGGTAACTGTTCTAGTTGTGTTTTGTACCGTGTTTAGGCAGTCTTTGTCTTCAACCACCTGCGGTATTGGGATAATTAAACGCAGGTGGATTTCATTAGTCATTTGACCTCCCTCCCGGTGCTATCCTATGTTTTCTGTTTATTGTTTCCACTTGTGTCTTCGTCCTCTTTACTGTTTTTCTGATTCCCATGCCCCTACCCTGGTAAGTGGTATTTTTGTTGAAGCTGGTCTCCGACATTGAATATATGAAAATATGTTTAATAATAGGACATTAAACAGTCATTAACATTTGTAAGAGTTTTAATGACGTGAAACACATGTTTTAAAAAGTGGGGCAGGAGTGGTTAAACTAGCTTGCAGCCTCCAGTGGAGGCAACACACGCTGGAGAGCAGGAGTTTATGACCAGCCTGTCGTCTAAAAAAAAGAAAATCAACTACATGGCTGTTTTGTGCTTCAGTGGTAGATTGGTGGCTTAGCACATGTAAAGAAAGCCCTGGGGCTGGGTGGTGGTGGTGGTGGCGGCGGTGCACTCCTTTAATCCCAGAACTGGAGAGGCAGAGGCTGGTGTCTCTCTGTGAGTCTGAGACCAGCCTGGTCTACAAGAGCCAGTTCCAGGACAGGCTCCAAAGCTACAGAGAAACCCTGTCTCAAAAAACAAACAGCCCTGGATTTGAACCCCAGCACCACAAAGTTGTGGTCTAGGGTTGTAGGTCAGTGGTAGAGTTCTTGTCTTGTATGCATGAGGTCCTTGGTTAAATTCCCAGCTCCACGAAAATAGAAAAGTTAGGGATATGGCGATGTAGCTTTTTAGTGTAGTCAAATGGAACCTGGGTTCAACTCCCCAAGCAAGCGAACAAGGTTTATGCGAAAGGGTCATAGCCCGAGTTCAGTTGTATTAACAGCATCTAGGAAGCTTACTGGACATAATCTAACATTGATTGTATTAATATCTAGGAAGCTCACTGGACCTAACATAGATTGTATTAACAATATCTAGGGAGCTCACTGGACGTAATCTAACATTGTGCTTTTCTTGGGAAGTGAGAGTAAGGTGTTTAGGGAAAAGAAATGCTTTCCAAATTTTCCATAATGAGTTTATGGCACTTCATAAAAGTGCAGATGTGGTAGTCTAGTCTTGTAATCCCACCACTTGTAAGGCTGAGGCAAGAGGATAGGGGTCAGCCTGGCCTTGGAGGCCAGCCTGGATGACTAGTTAGACCCTGTCTAAGAAACATTAATAATGAAAGAAAAAATTGAATATTATGCTGGGCATAGTGGCATACTCCTTTGATTCCAACACTCGGTAGGCAGCCTAGTCTACACAGCTGGTTCTGATATATGATCAGGGCTAAAGAGACTGTCTCACAAAAAAGAAAAATAAAAATTCAATAATAAAGGCCCATTATAAGGGGGAAATCCGATGGACAGGAGTCAGTCGGGAACCACAAATCTTGAGTTGCTGGTGATCTTGGCACCCAGCGTCTCACCGCTGTCAGTCCACATGCCCCTCCCACCTGTCTGTGTGTGACCTCCCCAAACCTCACCTTTCAGAGCCTCCTGGACGTACTTCTCCAAGTAGTACTTTCGGATCCGATCATTCTCCAGAGCCAGGTCATCGATGCCATTGGCTGTGATGTAGATATCCTTGTCCCCGTAGTTCCTCTGAATCCACCCTAGCAGCTTACGTGCTCCCCAGGGCGTTACAGCTAAGCGACTGGGTGAGCTGAGGCGTGTGATGTCCTGCAGGAACTGGACGTCCCTGTCTGCAACAGAGCGGCTACTGTTCAGCTGCTTGTGTATCACGAACCTAGTAGTGAAGTGGTTCAGGGCGTAGAAGTCGATGGTGCCCTTCACCAGTCTGCTCTCTTCCGGGGTGAAGCGCGGCAGGACTGAGCTGGACAGCCCTCGCTGGTTCTTGGAGGCGATGTACTCCTTCATGGCCAATGGGTAGTCCCCAGTCTTGAAGAGCGGATCTGCGAACCAGGCGATCTCAAACTGGAGGAAGCGCTCGGCTGCTTTCCAGTGTGAGTCCACATAGGGGTTGGCAGGTTCTGCCCAGTCAGAATGTAGAGACAGCGACACAGCCCCACGCTGGACCGGCCTATATTGCCTGTCGTAGAGGCGCCAGACCTGGGCATGGGCGATCATCAGGTTGTGGGCTGCACGGTAGGTGTCATTACTCGTGCGGTTGTACATGTCACTCAGCCTATTAGGCTCGTTGATGGTGATCCAGAGCTTCACCAAATCTCCCAGTTCCCGGAAGCACAGCCCCGCATAGTCCTGGAAGGCCTTGGCAGTGTATGTGTTTAGCCAACCCCCACTGCTCCGGAGTGGCTCCGGAAGGCCTAGATGGGAGTGCGTGGGGTGGTACAATGTCACCATGGGGGAGACACCCAGCTTCAGTCCTTCGCTCACCACACACCTATAGTACCTCAGCACTTGTCTATTAACTTCAGACAGGCTGCCAGTGGGAAGGACAGAGGCCCAGTCCAGAGCAAACTGGTAGTGGGTGACTTTCATTTTGGCCAACATCTCCACTCGCTTTTTGATGCTCACGTAATCTGTGCACTGGGATGGTCTTGTTTTAAGCCTTACTCCTTCCACGCGGTGTAGCAGTCTGTTACCGGTGGCATTCCACACATACAGGTGAGGGTCGGTAAACTGGGGGGAGGAGACCATAAACTCCGGCTGTGGAAAACAACAACGCATTCAGGTAAATCACGTGTGGCTCCTAGCATATCCCACCCTCAGATGAGAATTGAGTCTTTAGAAGCCTCTCACGGCAAGATGCAATAAATAACTTTTGTCCCTCATGGTCTCTGTGTGCTGACTGTTCTGTTGGTAAGGCAGAAAGGGCCTGATTCTAGTCCTTCAAATCTCCAGGGAGACCAGGAACCACACAGAGCAGGGGAAGGACGGTTGTTTGAGAAAAGCCTAAGGGGCCATTTTCCAGCTCATTTGACCCACAAATCCAGGTTATATAGCATCTCGTGTGGTAGTGTGCAAATGAATCAGGAAATTGGCTGGGTGCCCTCAGTCGAAGGCGCTGTCGTAAGCTCATGACTAAGATAGAAATGGGGTTGTAAAGAGTCACTGAGAGCAGCACTTGCATTCAGAGGAGGCTGGGTGAGCCAGAACATCCCTGAAAGAGGCCAGCCGCACATGCATGCGTGCGTGTGTGTGTGTGTGTGTGTGTGTGTGTGTGTGTGTGT